GCACTAATTATTAACAGCTATGTGTATAAGTAAACCAACAGCCAATTTTCCAATTAAATAGGTATTTTATGCCAAAATGTGATATATAACACATGATTTTTAATGCCAATGTTATATTTATATCAGAGTACTCAAAAGTGGGAACTAAAGTAACTTAATAATCTAGCATCATTAACATTTTAAGTATAGCATTATATTCAAGAATCATTTTGAGGCCTAGGTATCCAAGATTTTTCTAGCTCAGGATGCGGCATTAGGATTCAAGAATGAGATTCACAAGAGCTTGACATTAGGAGCCTCTTCAAAGTGCAGAAGGATATCCATCAACACAGCAATTGTCCCTCTCTATGGTGGTGGAATGATCTGAGAGAATTACAACTGTCCCATTATTACTTTCTTTTTGGCATCTAATTAAAACTTTTCAACTGCTATCAGTCTTTTACATTTTCCCTTTATTGATCTGCTGACTAAACAGTCTTATGTCTCTTAACTTGTCATTTTTTTATTACAGTGCCGTGTTTGTCTTTCTTATAATTTTGTCTACACTGTAGCAAGATCTCTTGTGGATGAAAGGTGAGACATAAAATTTTTTAAATACATTAAATAAACCTACAAGGCTATTTCTTCACACTGTGTTTAAACCACTATACGTATTGATGGTCTGGAAAGTAGCAGCTCGGAGATAAATACAGTACTGAGCAGAGAATTTGTCACAAAAGCAAACCCAAAGCCAGTAAGTAATCAAATTCTGACTGCTCATCGGACAAAACTGAAGAGAGCTGATTGTGAAAGCGCTATGTAGTAAACCAATTCAATATCAGCAAGGTAGCAAGTTTGAGACAGCACCTACTCAAGCATGGCACCATAAAAACAACTGCAAAGTAGCAGAAAAAGAAAGGGAAACGAAGGACCTGGTTGGCCACTGACAGAGATAGTAAAAATGGGATCAGGATCATTAGAGTTGTGAAAAATCAAAAGTGCCTCCTCCCCTCCCTCTATATTCTACAAGACAGCTTAGCAAAAAAATGAGTCACACATATTTTTTGCGTTTATACAACTTCCTGATGACATTACAAATGTGGACATTGTTAGTGTTCACTACAGTGAAATTTCATGATCTTAATCTGTGGGTCATTCTCCCCACCAAAAATCTAGTATTTTTGTTTAAGAGAAGCTATACTCCCAGAAGAAAGCAGAGATGTTTTCCTGACTATGCTACTTTACCTATGTACGACTGGGTGAATTCAGAAAAATACAGAAAACATTCTCAAATCCATATGATATTAAAATTCAGTGCCAGAATAGGCAAAGATTCCACCCCAAACTAACAGGATAATTCTACAGAGAATTACACAGGTTCATTGAGTCAGCCTTTAACATGAGATCTTTGCCTCACTTTTGAAAGAAGCTGATATTTTACCTTTATTTTCTCTCAGCAACACAAGGGCTGGAAATATTAAGAACCTTAAAATCACATGAATGACAGAAACATCACATTGGAAGACACATGCATTTTTGCACATTTAATTTTCAGGATACACCACACTATAGGAAGAGAGAAGCAAGATGAAATGGGGCAGAACTTAAACATCCAAAATCCATAGCTAATTTTATACTGCTGCTAAAAAAATCACAAACTAAAAATCACAGCACATCACAGATAAAACAATACTTTTTATGGTTTTATGGTTAAAAAGATAGAAAGGGCAACTATGATCATTAGCTAAAGACAACAAATAACATGATTGTTCTACTACGGGAGCTCACACAAGCGCACTCCCTTGCCATAAGTTGGGCAAAAACTTCAGTGGAAGAGCAAGGAACCATTACTAAGAACTTGGTTTGTGAAGAATGAATGGATGAGGCTGGAAGATCTTCAGATAGTGGAATCTGGTACATAAGATTTTGAAATACTGCTTCAGTCCCAGTTTTGCAGACGAGATAAGGAGTAACAGGATAATCTTAAGTGCCAATATGACCAGAAGGATAACAACACATCTAACTTTATAAGAAATGTACAAAAGACAATTAAAAGAATGTGGCAAATGCATATCCTTTGCAGACCAAATGATAGGTTCATATAAAACAGCTAGCATGAGAACACTACATAAAACTGACAACAACAGCATTATGATATTATAGAAGCTTTTCCCTTGGTCTAGACATTGGTCACACTAGATAAGGATGCTGGGCTACTTACTTGGCTCAAATGAAGTATAAGCATGAACATCAGGAAGTGGCACAAAGGGCTGGCATAAATAAAACAGTGAGAAACACCATGACATCAAATACTGAATTGTCTCACAAAAGACCAAGGTCCCCAAAAGGGCAGCACAAGAAAAACTAAGAGTGTTCTATACAGTGTCTCCACGTGTGGCTCTTCATGGCCAAGAACAGACATCACAGGGAGAATGATACAATAGGACTAAATGGCCTAAAGACTACCTAAAGTGTTGGCATATGGAAGACCACCATTCAAGTAAATCACATCAAGCCATCTCAAGAAGGAAGAAATTGTAGTGGGTCATACCAATTAACATTAAGAAGCTGCTACACAAAATACAGCAACAAGCCACACTGGGCAGTTTTCAGGGCCTTAACATCCTAGATAGTCCACTAGTACAAAACACTAGCTCCGCTACAATGCAATAAACAAAATCTAAACCCAAGAGAAAGTAGCCTGCCATGTTTCTCAATGTGTATCATGCAGAACAAACCAACCTCCTCCCAGCTTGGACTCTTCCTCTTCATACTTGGAAGGCAAGTGGCACAGGACAGTCTTTGCTCTTTAGCCAACAGGTATGCGGAAATGAGGGTGAAACTAGGTACACTCTCAAGTTCAGCTATAAACGAAATTCCCACTCTCTGACATTACCTCCTTGCACTCTACTGCTTCGGCAGACAGTTCACCCCAGGGATGGAATAGGGCCAATGGGGGAGTAAAGAAGTGAAAAAGGAAAAGTTGCCATGGAGGAGGGGAAGGCAAGTTTCTGCTCTCTACTTATGTGGGGGAATGGCAGATTAAGACAATGAAATGTCACTGGCCCTTCATTGTCTATCACCTCACACTTTTTTTTCTAAACTGATATGCACATATTTAATGAATTGAAAATTGGACTGTTTGCTGGGCTATCTGGAAAAGAAATCAGGTGAACAAGGCCAGGCAATTGCTACTCCTACCTCTTCCTACTTGCCCCCTCTCTCTGGGTTACACAGCAGAGAACTGAAGCAATCAGCACTGCTAGTAGCATCTTTATACATTTACTTGTTCACCCTCTGGCTAGGCAGTGCTGAATACTGGGTGCTGTGCCACTGCCCAGACAGACTGAAATACGTATTATCTTTATCCAAATTACCTTCACAGACTTATTCTCACTGTGGTGCAGCAGACAGGGGCAAGGCCAGTGGCTCCAATCCTGAACATACAGAAAGAGGCTATAGACATGTAAATGTGCAACTGGATGCACATTCCCTTGCTAGCGCACCTGAGTACACTAAATGTAGATTATAATACTGTAAGAATTTGACCCTACAAATCCACTCCTTCCTAGTCAGTCAACCATAGACAAATAAAAAGAAAACAGAAGGGACTGTTGCTACAAGAAGAACAATTATTAATTCCACTTGCCAATTTACTCTTAGCAGCCAAACTTGGTCCAATCCTCTTTACTGTCCAAGAAAGGTGAAGAGTGAACAAGAAGCACCTCCCCAAGCAAGGGTCTACAAGTGATCAGAAATAGACTATGACCACTATTTTTAATTCTCAAATGCACAGCATTTCACAATGAGGTGGGAAGGACAAGTGATTTTACAAAGGCAACAAAAAGCTGCTCTGTACTAAGTATTGCTTCCACTCTACCCCGAGCGCTTCTACACAACCCAAGCGCTTCTACACAACCAGGAGGAACAGTGGGTGTGGGCAACATAGCCAGTCACTGCTTAGCTTACCTGTTTACCCTCCGACCCCTGGGCAAATGATAGTTATATGGAAAGGATGCTGCTACTGCCAACACGTTGCCCAACCTGTGAGAAGGTTGTGCATGTACCCAAAAAGGCTGGGCCACACCAAGCCCATCTATGTAGTCACCGACTCACTTCCTTGCTAGCTCTCTCTCCGTGCAGTTGGGAGGAGACTAGCCTTACTAACTCCAAGCCGCCCAGCACCCTGCCCTGGTTAAGCAGGTACACTGTGCATCACCAGTTGCTACATCTGTCACCTTGCACTTCTCCACACATCTGCTGGGTGTCAGGGATGGGGTCGACTGCTTCCTACTGCATTATCAAAAGAGCAAATAGTAGGTGGCAGTTCACACATGTATTTTCTGAACAGTGCTACAGGGCCCAATCCTACATCTCTCGCAGCCCACATAACACAAGCAACAATCCGCTACTCTGCCCATCCATCTCTCTTGGTGGTGCTCTGTGAGGATCTGAACTAATGGGGCAAGTCGAAAACAAGCCCTTTGCCAAATGTCCCCTATAAACCTGGTACCTCTCAAGCAGAGACACTGAGAAGTTGGTCTGAGCAGGTTCAGGAAGGGACAGGAATCTAATATATAAAGCAGGTTGGGTGACAGGAGCAACTGGAGAAAGCAAGATGGCCAGAAGAGGGGGAGTAAGGACACCGGGGGAATTTACCTGAGCGAGGGAGCACCAAGGAGTTGGTACAAGTCACCTCTGACCTCAGGGGCCCCCCTCCTCCCTCCTCAGGGGGCACGCCCCGTGCCTCCCTCACCCACTCCTCCGCCCCTCTCTGCAAGAGGGTCGGCCCCTCCCATTGCTGGGCAGAGGGGATCGCTGTGACGCACTCAGGGGCCCTGGGCGCGCAGGAGAAAAGGGGAGGGGAACCCACGAGCGGAAAAGAAACCAACGGCCGCAGCCTCGCCGCGCAGCCCCTCCACCCTCCCTGCCGCTACAGATGGTTCCGTCCAAAGCCCCCACGCAAGAGAATTGATGGTCCGGCCCATCTCTTCCCCACCCCCTCTCATCGGGTCACTCACAATCTCTCCTCATCTCCGCTCGGCGCCGCCGCCATTTTCTTCGCAGCGAAGAACCCGCGGGGGGGGAGGGGGGAAACCGAGCCGGAGAGGAAACCCGAAGCGGCAATCCCCGCCCCTTCGCTGTAATTGGACGCCGGGTTCCATCACTCAGAAGCCCTTCACAGAATTATTGGTCGGTGCTCTTGTACACGGGCGAGTCTGCCCTGCTACCGGCGACCGTTAGAATTGGCGGGAAGCGCTGTCAGTTACAACGATACAAAGTAGGCTGCGGACAGATGCCCGCGCTGTTTCTGATTGGACCATGAATCTTACCTACCCAATGATAGGCCCGTTGGCTCATCGGTCACTGAGCAGGAGGGTGGTGTGGAGTCGCAGGTTTTGGCGTTTTTGAAATGTAACGTATCTAACGGCTTGTTTTGTTTTGTTTTGTTTTCCAAACTGGTTCAGCAGTTTGGACAGCCAGGCTGTTAGCAGTCATGCTGCAGATGCCTTCAAAATGCTGAAAGCGTGTGCCAAGGATCGTTTCTTTCATATGGTCATCATTCCTTTAGTGATACCAAGGTCATATTTCTTCAGCCAGTATATTATTTGTTCTCTCCGTGATCATCTGTGTGGTGGCAATGTGTGCAGTCTCTTAATACTAACCATTTTGCGTGGTTATATTGTTTCAAACTCAGCTTTCACTGCCCACCAGATACTAGCACTGTCATAAGAAGGCCACGTTCACCCACCGAGGTAGCACAGCCTCATCAAATGTGCCCCAGAAGAGCTGCATATTGTAGTTACATTATTTTCTCATAGATTTACTTCCCAGCCCATTTAGAAACAAAAACTCATGCAACCCATTTTCACAAGCGTCCCAAAACTGTCTCATTCTCAGAGAATTTAGTGCAGAGCTGTATCTTTCCTCATTCACTGCATCTGGGTAAACATGGCAGAGCCTTTCTGTTGTTTTTAACAAGACCCTGGTGTAGTTGAGAGTTCCATTCCCTCAGCAAATGCATAAATACACATATTCAGTGGATCCACAAAATTATGGCAAAAATCACACCAGGTTAGTCGCTTTCACATAAATATTCACAATATGACAACAGTGTTAGATCAGTTTTGCAATATCACCGCATATGTTTGATTAACTAATTTAAATCAAAGAGATTCTTCATTATTCATTTGTAAAAATTATTTTCCTTTGGCTTTTTTCTTTGTTATTTAAAATTCAACCCGTTCGTATGGTCTGGCACATAATGTGGCAAAGAAGAAGAACAGGAAATATATATATAATTTCAAAAACAGTTTGTATTTGTGCTCTACAGTCGCTTCAGTTGAAGGGTTTAATTCACTAAAGTGTTGCCATAGCTCTCAACATATGCATAAAAATTAATGTATTTATAATTTGTCTATGGAACTCACCTGCACCATACTGCAGTGAGTGAGAAGCTAATCTTTTATGCAAAATTGTGCTTAAATAATTTTAATCTGTTTGAATACTCGGGTAAATAAGACTCGAAAGGATCAAAGACTAACTGCAACAGTGCATGTATACTAAAAGCCCCACTGAAGCTAATGGGCTCAGTCAGTGGCAAGTATGCATAGGACTGCAATCTCACAGGGCCTTGGCCTGGTGGGGCTCACGTGGGTAAAGGGTATAACATTTAAAATATAACCTAACTTTTATTAAAACTGTTTTGACAGCCTAGGCCTCATGTTCATGGAGGACAAAACATTTAAAATATACCCCAATGTTTGTTTTGATGTTTCTTAATTTTTTTTTAACATACTGACGGTCTCAGAAAATGTAATCAGTCTGGACCACTCTTGACTTCTGTCAGGCACTGTCATCTCAATATATGTACATTTAAGCCGCATCAAAATGCATTAGTACAGACCTAATAGTTTCCAAAGAAATCAAGTTCTGCTTCTGTTGAAGTGTGTTTAGCATAGAGACTTTAGCACTTTTTCTAACAATCGTACATGGGATTTTTAGATTTTCTCTACACATTTTTTAAACGTACGTTTTTTACAATACTTTAACAAAGTGGTGATATTTATACTGTACTTTATATATACAAAGAAATTTTAAATAAAAAAGTGTTGAAACATGTACATAAATAAAACAGAGGGTCAAATGCACGATCACAACAAAGTAAATATCTAGCTTTATATATAAAAGGGCCTTAATCTGATGATAGAGCACATTTTGTGCATGCAAAAGGTATCAGAATTGTTGTTTAGTACTTAGAGTTTGGTAGGGAAAGATTCCTGATTAAAATCCCGAAGTATAGTTACCAGTCAATATTGTAGAAAGACAGAAGTCAGCTAAATAACCCAATGATCTCACAGAGTATAAACCAGTTTCTTGTTTTCTAGTATTAACCAATGAAGATACATGTGTGATAAAAACAATAATATAATACAATTACATAATTCATTTGATTAAGGGGTAAAAAATAAAATTTGTTATTAAAAAGAACATCCATCAGCCTATAGATTCAATATTAATATTCAAAATAATTAGAATACAGTATTCACAAGATGTACACAAAGATATAAAAAATAAGAACACTATCATTTTAATACTACTGTTAACAACTAGGTGTATAGCAGCCAATTTTTAAAAACAAGGTTAACTGATGGCAGCTAGTTAACAGTATAACTGATGGCAATTAGTTAACAGTATAACTTTTTTCTTATACAATTATGCAGTTTTTGACAATGTAGCAATCTCCAATTTTGTGATACAGTCACATATGTTAGGCATATTTGGTGTCCCCCAGTGTTTCACATAATAACTAAAGAAGCTGAAATAAAACTGGAAGATTAATAGTGTTTTCTTTTTATTATCCCATGGTAGAATAAACAACTTCCTCGTCAATTGTCTATTCCTTTTAAAACACTATACTATATAATATTTTACTATATAATTATATGTACAGTCCTTTTTGTTTTGTTTTAATATATGATCCCAAAATTGTTCTTTATCAATGTCTACAATCTCAAATGTAAGTTTCAAAAGCTAGGGCAAGTGTTTATGTAATGTGAAATGGTGCTGGCATGTATGGAATTTTTTTTTTGTTAAAAGGAAGAAAACTGAAAATGTTTTTTTTTGTTTTTTTTGTTTTTTTTGTTAAAAGGAAGAAAACTGAAGATATGTATACCTTCTTGATGGATGTTAATTCCATTAAAGTAAATAGGACTATTTTTCACATCAGGCACTCAACCAGGTAACCTCTTAAATATGCAAGCAAAATATTTTAAACAGAATGCAGAAATTATCTTTTAGTGTTACAATCCTCTAGTACTTGCTTACCTGAAAGTAAGTACCATTGCAGTGCCAGTTACCTGACTAAATATATTTAGGATTGCATAGATACTGTATTTTCAACGTACTCCCCCGCTTCCACTGTATTAAAAGAGTACTTAAGTTTGTATTCATATGCACAAATACTTAGCAGTAATGTGCATTTACCTTTACACTACACAACTGTTTAGAATAAAATGCTTTGAAAATAAATTGATTGCCTTTGTTCAAATATACTAAATTTTGTAGTTCTTATAATATTATTGGCAAATTGATTAAAGTGTAACGGATAGTTACTGGTACATGTCAATGTGTTTTGAAGCTTGAGACCAGGATTTCCCTTGTCAATAATTTCCCAAATTCCTCAGCAATGTGTAACAAGCCACAATTCTAATCACAGTCACCAAGAATTGAACCCAATTGAAACTCAGTGGAACTTCTATTAAACATGTTTAGGCCTACACTACTTAACCACTTAAGTTTGCCGAAGCAGTCTATGTACACTGCTTGTCCTTTACACACCATTACGAAGCAGGAGTACTTCATATTGGTGGCTTCTAGTACTAATAAATAATTATTTTTCCATTGAAATATGCAAATGGAATTTCATCTGCCTTTCCACACTAATCTGGAGATATAGTGCCTTTTCTGTGTGTACATCCTACAGTGTTATATTCACAGTAGTGCTGTTTACCACACTTCTGTATTTTATAAGAACCATAGTTTTGATGTGAATAACAGTGATTTTTGGCTAGTTAAACCTATCAGAGCTCGACATAAATGCACTACAATTTTCTAATGCCCACCCTTTTCATCACTTGCTTATTTTTTTAGTAATAGGAATACATCCTTCTACAGTAACTATGTTTTTACACAATAATTACATTTAAATGATAGTTAAATGTACTTAAATCAAACAGACCAGAATCCAATTAAATATTTATTTACTTTGGCATAACTGTAAAGGCATAGCCCGGACTAGCAAATTGCCTCTTATTAATCAGGTCCCAACTGAACACCTAGGTGCATACGATGTGACATACAAGTAGGAATTAAATCAGACTCATTAGTCAAGGACTATTTGAGTTATGCCATTGCACTTAAGGCCAGTGTAAATATTTGATTGTATTCTGGTACAATATTAAAGAGCTTTACCATAATAATATGTCTGTCTGTCTGTCTGTCTGTCTGTCTGTCTGTCTGTCTGTCTGTCTGTCTAACTAGACCTATGAGTGATAAAGGACCTTTTTCAGACACTTCCACTTTAGGTAAGTAACGTAGTTAATGGCTGTAGCTGGAAATGCCTTATTACAGTTTTAAAGAGCATTATCAAGGTATAATGCAATATCCTTATAAAACTGTTGTTTTCTGTAAAGTAGTAGCCTTTCTGAATTCACTTCAGTACGTTGATATGAAATGTACACATGATTGATAATGTAAAGGTGTAATGTTTGGTATGTTTTTCAAAGAAAGACAGAATACTTACAGTTATGCTTATTGATTAAAGATTGAGGTGTTAATTGCTGTACTCTACAGTGCGAACAACAACAGTGCACATCTTAAGTTTTGCTAGTGGGGGAAAGAGAAGGAAAATACAATAAAATTGAAAATTGCCACCATCATAACAAACAAAGGGAGATTTCATTATATAAGGTTGAACAGTTTAAAAACTTGAAATATTTCAGCATTGTAACTAATAAAAAATACATGTATTTATAACAAAAAGACATGAGCAAAATATTTTTAAATTTACTATTAAATTAACAGTAACATTTTCCCCAAATTTTCAAATTTTGAAGAACTTCCTTATTAAAAAAAACAGGAAAATATCCCAACATTTTCTATGTTTTTTAAAATTTTCCAGGCTTTCAAAATCCCTGTGTCAATTGCATACTCATAAAATGAGACTCCAAAAATTGAATTGTTATCATACAGTAAGGTCACTTGCCCTATAATCCAATGCTTCTTTATTTAGATACAATTTACATCACACCCAAACTACATACTGAGCTCAATGTACAAGTTTAAAAGCCACAGATTAAGTTAAAAGGTATGGAAAAATCTTGTATGCAATACAAATTGGGAGTCCTTAAGACACAGACATTTAATAGCAGTTTTAGTCTCATTTGAAATGGAAATACATAGGTAATAGATAACAAAATACTTTACATACTTTTGTAGGAAGAATTTAATCAAACACCATTCTGTACCCTTATATTATTTTCTGTTTCCCATATCCTCTATTGCAGATAGTTGTGCACTGATTTTTCATGTTCGTCTTCTGTATTTCACAGTTGAAATGCAGTTAGAGTCAATTGTAAAACTACATTAAACACAAAAGAGGGTTGTCTCTCTACCAAATAATATTTTTGTTAAGATTCTCTGAGAAGTAGTAAATAATGCATATTTGTCTATGACTGTAATATGCACCATATTACATCTTGATTGTAATAAATAAAAATGAGAGGCCAGTAATACAAACCATATAAAGCATATTTTCTGGCAGACTTTAAAACCATGGCCAAAAATAATTTCCCTTGTGTTTCTTTCATTTATCTTCAACTTGTTCTAACAGTAATTTGGGTATGAAAGATGAAGACAATTTTTAATGTGTTAAGTTTTATTTGGTTTATTTACATAGCTTGAATTTTAAAAGTGTATTTGTGTAAACACCATTTTAAAGATGTTTAATGATTACCCAAAAGATGTATAACAGAAATTTTGTCTGAAAATTAAAAGCTCCAGTCTAAAATGTGAAACAATATTCCAAAATACAAAGCACTAATCTTTAGACTCATGGGGTAAATTAAAAATGCTAATATCTTATAAAAAGCGGAACATAACAGAAAATTGGTTCTAACAAATTGTGATATTAGCATCATCATAATCTTAGAACTGCAGAGCTGAAAGGATCCTGCGTTCATTGCAATTCAGCAACCAAAATCCAGCTACTAAAAAGCCAAACAAAATATGCAGTATTGAAATATTATATACAGATCGCCACACAAATTAGTAATGCAATAATACAAAATATCAATTTTTAAATGAAATGATCACCTTTGAAGAGAGACAAGCTACTATTCAATATGCTATATAAAATGTTATGATAAAAATGGAGTATTAAAATCCAAACATACAAGTAATTAATGAAAAGTGCAGAAATTAAACCTCTGGAGTATAAAGAAAAGGCGAAAATGTGAACTATTGAAATAACAGTGTGAAAAACAGAATTACTGTATAAAAATAAGTACGGTATGTGCCATGGATTACAGAAACACATTTCTACTTAAACCAGAATCACTCTACAGTAATTTGTTTTAGCATTATGATAATAAATCTATTGAATAATTAGACTTAACTCACAGCTCTCCTACTTATTTGGGGTCAGCATTAAGTGCCAAAAGAAATGAAAAACGTCTTATTTATCTCCCTGGACTATACTGTACTCCAGATATTTTCCTAGTGCACATGGATGAATTTATGTCTATTATTTCAGCTTTTTCCTTCATTTTTTAAATGGCAAACTTTATTATGCCCCATCTGAAATAAATGGGTACCTAATGAAAACTGCATATTGAAGGTATTTAAGATTGAAAATAACTCACATGGGGCAATATGTCTCAGTAACAACTGACTGTTTTGTATTGATGCAACAAGAAATGCAAGACATTGTAAACTACAATTCTGCATCTGAGCTCAAATTGCAGAATTTGATTTATACTGAAAAGACAAAATAGCTCCTGTGGGCTTGAAGTCAGCCCATCAGTCTCATAAACTTCAAGGAACTTGAACAAAACACTAGAACTTCAGGAAAGCATTCCACAGCAGATCCTACCCATCTAATTTTGTGTGCGCGTGCATTGTTTTTAATAGATTAAACATTTCATACTGGAAATTACCAGAGCATATTCCAGTGGAACCCTGTTGTTCCCACAATGATGTGCTCTATATGTCTCCAGCCAGAACAATAGGCTGAATTCCTACAGATGGTATCCACCAGACTTCAGCGACTTCCCTTGGGTCTCTACGTCAAGAGATATACATCTACCTGCCCATTTACAGATATACCACTTACATATAACATATCACAATTGTAAGAACACTCTTCTTTCTAAGGCATATAAAAGACAAAAGACACATAAAAGGTAGCTTGTATATACATACACCTCAAGTCATCAGATAAATCAAGGCTGGTGTGTATTCCATTTGCCTTCATCAGCTATCAGCAGGATATATCAGATTTACCTCTTAAATCTATCAGTGGAAAATTGATTTGTCCTGTTGTTAGCATGCATTCATGAAACACTCAAGCATGAACAGAAAGACAGCATCAGTGCCTTGACTGCCATTTCACATGCTGGAGCAAATAAGGTTTATTTTTAACTGTGACAACTGTGTTTTTCAATTTTGAGTTGTCAGTGATATGATCAGATTAAACAATTTTCTTCCAATGGAAAATGTTTAGTCTTGTTTTCAAGTATTAAACTGTATATGATTGTATTTGTTTATCCAATGTCTTATTTTAACCAAATGCAGTTGCGTACACTACATTCTAGACTGAAAGATTAGTGCAGAGGTGAGGGTGCTTAACTATTTCCAGCATCCCCCATTGCCACAATTGTCTGAGAAATCCAAAATAAGACAAAAGGAGCAAAATATAATTATCCTTTTGCTAATCAGGTTAACAACTGATATCAGGTCCATAGGTCCATTGAGTCAATGCAAAATTTCTGAAACCCCCCCCCTGCAAAACCAAAATGTTAAATGCAGACTTTTCTGCTGGTGCTCAGAGATACTGATTCATGTTCAAACTGGTATAATATTGTGATATTTACAGCCTACCTCTGTCTCTCTATTGATGTAAGCCCAATATTTTCCCTATTAAGGGTGTATAAGAATGTAGAGTGTTGTTAAATGCAAATTATTCCCTGTTAAATGTGCATAAGAATATACAATTTTGAAATAAAAGCAATAAAAACATAACTATCAAATATTATTGAAAAAATTTCAAATTATTTTAGATAACACCCATAACTATCAAAATATAAAAACTAACTTTAATATTTGTATCCAGAATTCTTATTCGTGGGTTATATGAAGATACAGTACTGGTGTTTGACCAGAGATCATGTAGACAAAATTGTGCACAATATACATTGCCACTGACACAAAAGGGTAGGTAAAATTTTCTAATACTTCTTACAGCCCCTCAAGGCCACCCATGAAAATTGCTTCTAATGCACTCTCTAGAACATGATGGAGAAGAGGATATAAGTGATAATAATTTTACATCTTTTATTAGTGCAGATCTCCACAAAATAAAATAAAATGAATGGAAGATGTGTTTGTTTATGGAACAAGAAGTCTGAGTGAAATTCATTATATCCAAGGTATTTAAAGATAGTATTAAATTTGGTAATTGTTACCAGGGGAAAATTGGCTATTGAATGGACAAAGTAATGTTACAATGTAATAACCAATATAAAGCAAATACGGACTGTAATATACAGTACAGTACATGCTTACATAGTAAGATGTAAGGAAGATAACAAAAAGTATTTTTTACATTTTAAATGTTTATGTGTAATGTAGTCACTTTTTGAACTGGTGCAATGTCTGTCTCAATGAAAGTATACTACCCTCAATAATCTGAAACTGAACCTATTATATGGAGCATTGCAAGCATAGCTGTTATATGTGTTTGATGTTTCTCCCTATATACAGTATGTTAAATATATTTTGATTAGTGCTTCCATATTACATATTATTTATAAACAAGCTGTAATATAAGATATAGTTTTAATACAAATATTTATTATTAAAACCTCAGCTGGCATGTATTAAGTTTGAGCAGCATCTCTCTCCTGTCTCCCACAGGAAGGTATGTCTCTACAAAGAAAATGCCTGCTGTTAAAACACATGTGCATAAACTGAGAATGTTGTTGTTTGCTTCTTTTTTTTGCCGTATGCACATTTAATCAATCATATACCTACAGTGTGGCAAATGATATTAAAGAAAGTGAAACATACTTCTAAGCAGATGTGCTATATAATTATTGGCTGAAATCCAGTAGTAAGTTGCAACTAAAATAGTCCATTGAATCAGTGGGAATTTAATGAGTCAACACATAGATAAGTTCCATTGATTTAATGGGCTTACTCTAGTTACAACTTACATCTGGATTTCAGCTTTAATATTTTAATCAGGTAACCATCCTAGCTACAGTATATGCGCATATAATTTGACATCTGAACATGGCCAAGTTTGCATATGAAGCTACAGTTTGTATGTCACAGCCAATAAATTAGCATCCAAGCCATATATGGACAGATTCTTTTTATGTTGTGGTGAAGCTTAACAACACAATCCTGTGCATGTCTTCTTAGACATTAATGCTGCTGAGTTACTTAGGACTCAGAGAAGAATATACTGTATTGCAGCTTAAGTGTAATATTTTTCCATAATGCCATAAGAGTTGTCTTCTCCGAGTCTTCCCCATGACAGGCCTTACGGGTTAAGTATTGGTGAGTGCGTGATCTTGCACCTACTTTCTGAATTGCTTTCCATAACTGGCTGCTGCATTAAAGACCTTTCTAGGTTTTGGGAGCAGAGAATGTATTGTTATTTGATCTAGCAGATACACCAGAGTTACCCTGTTTCCCCGAAAATAAGACCTACCCTGAAAATTAATCCCTAGTACGAATTTTCGGGATGCTCATAATATAAGCCCTACCCCAAAAATAAGCCCTAGTTAAATGAAACCCTGCCCTCCACCATTGTGCAAAATAAAACTTCCCCTGAAAATAAGCCCTAATGTGTTTTTGGGGCTAAAATTAATATAAGACCCTCTCTTATTTTCAGGGAAACACAGTACTGATCAGTTACAAGAGATCCAATGACCTTTCCTCAGCAGAATACTAATCTTGCGGGACTACTGCATTTCCTCAGTACTTACATTTCCCTTTTTCTCTAAGACAATGTAATTACTCTTATCAGTTTAGCGATTGTGATTCTGACTATAGTGTAGACTGGTTGCTGTATTGTTTCAGACAACTACTGAACACTATCAGGGCTAGTCTAAGACATTTTTTAAAATTGAAATTGTACCACCCTCTTAACATGGGGATCAACATGGTTCCCAAACTACTGGGGACTTTTCCTACACATATCATTGGAATGGGTAGACATGTGCAAGAGCATGGGTTAAATATGTTCTGTTCAATGTATTTGTGTCCTACTCTGGTGCATTAATCATATCCAATACCTGTTGCCTCACTGGTCATCTAAACTTTGCTAACCTGTACTGAAAATAATCACAGATATACTTATCAGGCAAAATCCGAAGAGACAAAACAAAACAAGACAAGACAAAAACATGTGGCACCTTGAAGACTAAATATTATAGTTTATTGTAGACATTCATGTACATTAAAATATAATAGTCTTTAAGGTAGTTTTGTTTTGTTTTGTTTTGTTTCTTTGGATTTTGCCTGATATACTTGCATAGACTAACATGGCTGCCTTTTCCAAAACTACAGATATACTTGTTGAGGCTTGCCTGCAGCCTTGTATGATTGTAGAGGTGATGCTGTAAATTCCATTTTTAACATTTTTTATTATTATTGTTATTATTTACAATTTGTCATTGGTTTTCCTTTTAAAAACTCAAAATTTGATTTGGCTGTTTCCACTGGCAATTGTATTTTTACAGGAATGTCCTCTAACAAGCTGTCTTTTAATTTATGCATAGTAAAATTTGACAACTTCACAGTGCCCAGTGATTTTCAATTGGTGAGTGTAAATAAAATATGGAGGGGGTGAAATATCATTTGGCTAATGAAATCTAGGATTCTGGAACAGGACCGAATGGGATGCTGGCATGATCTTGCAAAAAGATAAGAGAGATTTGTGGGATCAGAACACTGGACAGCTCCCTGTGGATAAGGTGTCAGGTGGAGTGCAAGAGACCCAGAGCAACAAATTAGGAATGCTCCAGGGATTGTCTAATTATGCCGGGGTTATCTTTTCTCTCTGTCGCTCTGAAAAAAGGTGTTGCTTCTTAAAGGGGCCATTTCCTTTTTTTTAAAGCTTTAGCTCCATCAAGATTGGGAAAGAGTGGATTTACAGTATGTTTTTACAGCCAAGCTATGCAAAAGTTTCCAACATTTAAGTAATTATATATTCATGCTTGTAACCAAAATATATAAGATACAAAAAGACACAAAAAGCAAAGAAAGCATACACGAAGCATTGCTTCTGAGCTACAATTAACTTCACATTAATATATCAAACTATCAAAAGTGCATACTTAAACTCTCCAGCAAATTCAAACCCAATGCCAAATTCAAATCCTGAAACCTACTTGCAACTCTTTCACTGCTGCTTAGAAATTGACCCCACCAGGACTGAGACTGTAGGAACCTTTCAGAATCTCTGGTGTCAGGTAATAGCAGGAAAGATAATAGCATGGCTGTCTTCTTGGGTAAAGCTGATGCTGGCTTTTAGGACTAGCCTTCTATAGGATACTCCAGCAAAGTGAACATTTCCAGGTTATGGCCTGGGAGTAACTTCTTGACCATATCTTCTTTCATCCAGATCTGAGATCATGATGAACTAATGTTTAGTTTCATATTCATCAGCAACAAAGTTCTGACTTTTCATTTGTTTTTGATTAAAAGCAGTCTGGAAGATTCCAGTTTTAAGTTGAAACGAGGTGAAAGAAGAAATAACTGTAACTTTTTGCTTACAGCTGTTTTTGAAAAGGTGTTTCCTACCAAAAAATGCCACAGGATCCAAATACATATTTTGAACATTTTTTAATCTGGAACAGCGCAAGGAGAAAAGGAGTAGAAATGGTTAGTTTGAGGAATTAAAAGCAACCAGCATGGAAAGCATTAAGGAGTACCTTTCTCCTGCCTTTTTTTTTTACTTGACCACTCAACATTCTAGCCTCCCAAGGCTGATGTATAATGCGTGTATATAGGCACACACACACACATGTACACATTGCTCAGTTACAAGTGGGTTTTTTTTTTTGGTCTAACATATGGGTTGCCTTTCTGTTTAGCAAAACTGCAGCAGAGGGCACTGTTATCCTACTATAGCTACAGCTATGCAGAGGAGTACATAAACCTAGAGAAGTTCAGTTGTCCTGACAGAACAGAGTATTTACCCTGGAAATCCATATGCTGATTAGACTTGTATCACTTACTGTTTAAAACAAAACTATACATGGATTTGTTAGCATCTCCAAGATCTTCAAGAGGGATAAGCTGTCCTTACTTCTATCTTTGCTAGATATAACTGGAAATATATTATTCTGACTTAGTCAGAACACTTCTGTTTTGAATCCAATTAATTAACATTCTGTAATTCATATCGGCAGTTGGGCCAATATCTACATTCTTTGTGATAGCGAGGAATCAGTTTGGGAGAAGAATTCTGTCTTATTCAACAGTACAAAAATCAAAACTGGACAGTGAGTTCATACAGTCTGTGTAGAAGAAAGATCTCTATGGTTTCTTCTTTTCCAAAGGCAAATGTAACCCAGTATTCTCTTGATGGCTGTCAGGTCAGAGATTCTGAAGCCTGAACATACTCCTAAGAGACCTACAGAACTTTATAGACCTTTAGGGAAAAATCAGAAGCCTGTGTTTGTCACAGCTGGTATTTTTATCCTAATTGAAGGTTAATTCCAGAAAAACTAGACAATAATTGACAATCATATCAAAATTCCATCGACTATCAAGTCATAAGTCTTTTCACTGTTGCCATGTTTGTTTCCAGGCAATTTCATTCTAATTCTACAAGCTTTATTTATCTACACTGCTTTTATGTTCCATAAGCACAAAATACTTAAGAGTTGTAAAAATACAAATGTATTACAGCTGTGGAAAACTATAGGCATAAATGATTAAAAATATATGAAAACTAAACTTAAATTGTAGGCAAATATTTAAGTTATACTTCATCCAAAATGCAGTAAAATATATTTTAAGAGTTAAAAAACTGAATGGGAATGTTTCAGTTACATTCTAAAAATGCAAGAGGTTGTATTTACATTTAAACTGCCTGGAAAATTATCAAGGTTGTTTAAAAAAAAAGAACATATAAGACAGAAAAAAATCTTAGCCTTTAAGCATATTACTAGACAGACATAAAATATGATTTTCAATACTCACCCAGCCAAGCCAGTTTCAATTTATGGAGGGAAATGCATGATGATTGTTGTTGGCATCTGGAAATTGAGCTGATATGCTGC